AACCCGGTGCCCTGGAGTTCCGCCCGTCCGCCGCCGGCGGCCGTGGCCGTGACGCTGTGACAGACCTGGCGTCTCAGGGGTTGGGAAACTAACTGCGTTAACGTGTTTTTAAACGGTGTGGAAGTTACAGTATCTGCATCGTGTATTTCTCAGCTCCAATACCCTTTTAAAGAGAGTATTCTATCTTTGTACTAATCCTGTGACTCTGGCTTCAGCATACACAAAATAGCTGAAGAAAGAACTTACCGAATAGTTAACTGTTTAGCTTTTAGAAAGCTGTTGCTGAACAAGGTAAAGGGTTATGGCAAGGACTCAAAAGGGAGTAAAGTAGAAGTAAAGCATGATCTGTTCTGAGAAATAAAAAATACACTTTTGTTTATAAACACTAGTAATATCGAATTAAATTTCAGCTTAAAACTATTTTAGGGAGGTCTGAGTTAGTTTTGTAGGCCTGAGAGGGTATAGATAAATAAATAAAAATCTGCTGGGCACTTGCACAGTTTGTTCTTTAGGAAGATCAGTAAACAAATGCCAGTTTCTTTTCAGACACAGAAACCTGAACTGTAAAGACTTGTTATAGAGGTGATCAGCGTAAATACAACTTTAAATCTTAGTAAAATCTTGATAGTTCTTTGTAATATTCTGGTTAATTCTTAGTGATATCTTGATAAAAACACATGACTCAGAGGAAATGAAAATTCCATTTCCACTGACTCAAGGGACTGCAGGCCATTAGCTCACTCCCCGTGTGCCTGCCTTAAACCAGGTTGGTGCAAGGTGTGCGTTCCGGGGCGCGAAGGCAGGGGCAGGGAATGAGCATGAAGGCAGGCAGGCAGGAGTTGTGAGTGTGATTTACTGTCTGTAAGGTACCTTGAGGCTTTCAGAGGCAAGAAACTTCACAAATACAGAGTTCCAGTAGCGCTGTTGAGGATTAGAAGTTATGAACAAATGTTGTATTCAGTTGGGATTGAAAGTTTGAATTCTTAATTTGCAGTGTCTTACTGACACTAAAGATGGTATCTTAATATGTCTTAAGAGAGACATCTGTATACAAATTCAGGTTACGACTTGACAAAAAACCAATCTCGTGGAAATAAAGCTCTTCAAATATGGGTGTGTTGTCAGTTTGAAGAGACCTTTCCAGTGTTGTTCTAGACTGAAAACAAAGCAAAAAAAATTCCTGTCTGCCAACCATTTTGTCAGATCACAGAGTAAAA